TAACATTGACAAATAACATCGTTTTAGAAATTATCACAGGCATGGGAACAATTGTAAAGCAAAATAATAAATTATTTGAAATATAGATGTTCGATTCGGAATTGATTTGTTCTTAAACGATTTTAGATTTTTAGAATCGATCCTTTGATATCGCCGAACATCTGCAAAAATTGTTACATTTTAATTTTTGCTCGCTAAACAAATGGCTAATAAATGACGATTAAGATATTAATACAATTCTATTGAATTCTATCTTTTTCCACATTTCAGATATAAATTAAAAATATGCAAATTTAACGATTTCAAAGTTTATTCGAATTTACGCTGAAAACTACAAATTCGATTGTTTAAATCGATTCTTCGGTATTCAATGCTCTGATGAATTGATTTATCGAGATTCGATGCTTTGGTGAATCGATTTATCGAGATTCGATGCTTTGATGAATCAATTTTTCAGGATTCGATGCTTTAGTGAATCGATTTTTCGAGATTCGATGCTTTGATGAATCGATTTTTCGAGATTCGTTGCTTCGATGAATCGATTTTTCAGGTTTCGATGTTTTGGTGAATCGATTTATCGAGATTCGATGCTTTGGTGAATCGATTTTTCAGGATTCGATGCTTTAGTGAATCGATTCTTTGGGATTCGATACTTTGGTGAATCGATTTTTCGGGATTCGTTGCTTTGATGAATCGATTTTTCAGGTTTCGATGTTTTGGTGAATCGATTTATCGAGATTCGATGCTTTGGTGAATCGATTTTTCAGGATTCGATGCTTTAGTGAATCGATTTTTCAGGATTCAATGCTTTGGTGAATCGATTCTTTGGGATTCGATATTTTTGTGAATCGATTTTTCGGGATTCGTTGCTTTCATGAATCGATTTTTCAGATTTCGATGCTTTGGTGAATCGATTTTTCGAGATTCAATGCTTTGGTGAATCGATTCTTCGAGATTCTATGCTTTGGTGAATCGATTTTTCGGGATTCGTTGCTTCGATGAATCGATTTTTCAGGTTTCGATGCTTTGGTGAATCGATTCGAATCGATTCGGTTAAAAATTGATTCAAGTATCGACATTATCGCGAGAATCGAACACCCCTGATCCGAAATAATATTTCAAATAGTGTCATTCGAGAAGTGGCTCGCATTGAGCTTAGGTATGCTTCCGACTCGTACAGTGTTTTATGGAGGCACGCAGCGAAGAACAGGTTAGAGGCAAGGACTCCAAGGACTCGCCGGAAAAATCAGAACACGTGGCCAGGACATAGCAGCCCATACGTCTCGAGGATCCTCGCTGAAACACTAGACCCGCGCGCGAATATCTAGTTAGTCCCAGTATCTCCGTATAGAATCGGCCGCCCGCGACCCCTGTTGCTGGCAGCTGCGTTGACCCCTGCCGCAGGGGTCGCCACCACTCAAGGCCCCGCTTAAATATCACCGGGATCAAAGTGTTAATCGCCGGACAATGTCGGCGCGTTCCCTCTCGCGGGTTGCACCTACGCGCCGATGCAGGCCGACGCCCACGCGGCGCATAGAGAATACAACGCGGGGGAATTCCGCGGATCGAACAAGGAACGAGATGCACGGAAAACGCGACGGGCCTGATGGAGAAGAGATGCCGGGCCCGAGATGATTGGTGGTTCGATGTTGCAGGACCTTGTTCGGATGCAGCCATCTACGGAGCCAGGGGTCTGCGAAATTGTTTAATAACGATACTTCTGTTGTGTATACGAGATTACAGTGCTCGGAAAATACATGCCATTCGCGCTGGAATTGATAGTTACTTAGCAATTGATCCTGATCCCCGAGGCTAGCTTCAAGTTGTTTGCTTTAGGGACGCGAAATTTCCGTTTCAACACGCTTGGTTTTTTTTTTCGTGCGTTTCACTAAGTACGGGGAAGCGCGAAGAAAAGTTGGGAACTTTATTTTGTTCACGAATTTTTAGTTCGGTTTGAACGTATTCGTTATTGGTCAATTTTTTGGCACAGCGAATAATAATCGAATCGACGAACATACTTTGTAAAAGCAGATTGCAATGCTTGAGAAAATAGATGTGCCTCGATCTTCTTGAAGTTAAAGACTGTCTTAGAGTCTTGTTTGGTCGAGAGAAATCAGTATTTTAACATGCTTGCTTGCGCACTTTTTCTATTAACTGCAATGAAGTTCATTTTGAATAAATGGATGAACGTTCATTTTACGGAACAATTTAACTAATAACGACAGTATCATCCAACATACTTCGTCAATGTACATTGGAGTGTTTGAAGAAAAAGAATAACTTGATCTTAATCCTCAAGACTTTTTAAACTATTTTGTATCATTTTTTATTTATTTCAATTATTTTTCAATCATTTTCAACGAACGAATTGTGGCTTAATAAATAATCGCAATATCAACCAGCAAACTTTGTAGAAGTAAATTATAATATTTGAGTAAGTTCGTAAAGTAACTTTAAAGTAGTTTGATTAAGAGAAATTAATATTTTAAAATGCTTGTTTTCGTATTTGTTCTACTAAATACACAATGAAGTCCACTTCGAATGGATCGATTAATGAACAATTTGTTACGCAGCAAACGGTAACAGAATCAACCGGCAGACTTTGTAAAAATAGATTTCAATGTTCCAGGAAAGAAAAGAAGTTGTCCTTGACGCTGAAGGCTTTCTTGAACTTGTTTGTTAACAGTTTCTATTTTAACACGTTTGTTTTCGTAGCTTCTCTACTGAACGATTTGAGATGATTGAATGAGATTAAACTAATGAACAATGTGTGACTCAGCAAACGATAACAAAATCAACCAACAGACTTTCTAAAATTAAATTACAGAGTTTGCAAAAAGAGGAAAAATTGTCCTCGATCCTGAAGCACCAGTTTTTAAACCTTTATTTTCATAGTTACTTCCAAGAGATCCTTTCCAAGAAAAAATAAATTCTATTCACAATGTATCATAAGCTCTAAACGAAAGGATAACTTTTCCTTCGAACGATCCGACGTTTCGTGTCCCATATAAAAATGGGACATCGTAGGTTTAGCAATAAGAGATGCAAGAGAAGGGACCTTCTTCTCGAACTGGGACACAGAGGCGGGGGAGAGGGTAAGACGCGAAAATGTGACGGCACCGACCGGATTCCCTGGTTCGGTTCCGGCGAAAGGTTCGTGTCTAGTTTCGTTTTACTCTGCTTATCATGAGAAATGGCGGCCGTTTATAAAACAATGCGACCGCTAAGGGAGGAGGACCACCGGCGCGTAGGTGGCCTCCTCGCAACGCTGCCCGACGCTGAACACGGAACACGGTGACAGAACGAAATGTCCGTGCCTTAAATGGCCACCTGAGACTCTCCTGCTGTTGCTGTTCGCCGCTGCCGTGTCGCGAGTGCCCTTTTTCCCTCCCCCGGGACTATCTCTTTCTGCGCCGGGATTACGCGTATATACGCGTTACGAACATGAGTGCGACGTCGACGCGACAAAGGGCATCGCTGCCGCTCGAAACCAGGATTTCGCGAGCTGATAGTCGGACTGCGGTATACTCGATAAGTCGAGGCGGTAGTGGCACGCTATACATAGACTCGGTGATGGACTTACTTGTATTGTCATCTGTGAGAATGGTTCTGCTGAATGGTCACACGTGAGGACGAAGTTGAGTCAATTTTATTTCGTTGCTATTTTTGAGGAATTGTGACTTGCATTCGTTTATGATTTTTCCAATTAGAGTCGTTGTGGACTCAACAACCCTGTCATTAGCAAAAATGGTCCCACTATATGGTCACATATGAAGAAGACGTTCAGACAATTTTATTTTATTGGTCTTTTTGGGAAATTTTGACTCATAGCATCTGATTTCCCAATTAGACTACTAGTGAGTCAATTAATCTTATCATTTATAAAAATGGTCCCAGGGTTTGGTCACACGTGAGGACGAAGTTGAGTCAATTTTATTTCGTTGCTATTTTTGAGGAATTATGACTTGCATTCGTTTATGATTTTTCCAATTAGAGTCGTTGTGGACTCAACAACTCTGTCATTAGCAAAAATGGTCCCACTATATGGTCACATATGAAGAAGACGTTCAGACAATTTTATTTTATTGGTCTTTTTGGGAAATTTTGACTCATAGCATCTGATTTCTCAATTAGACTACTAGTGAGTCAATTAATCTTATCATTTGTATAAATGGCCCTAGGGTTTGGTCACCCGTGACGATGTAGTTGACTCAATTTTATTTCGTTGCACTTTTTGGAATGTTTTGACATGCATTCGTTTCTCATTTTTTCAATTAGAATCGTTGTGGACTCAACAACTCTGTCATTAGCAAAAATGGTCCCATTACATGGTCACACACGAAGAAGACGTTTAGATAATTTTATTTCATTGCTCTGTTAGTGAAATTTTAACTTATAGTTGTTCCTGATTTCTCAGTTAGACTAGTGATGGGTTAACTAATTTTATCTTTTGTAAAAATGGTCCCATTTGTTTAGTCACATATGAAAAAGAAGTAGAAAAATTTTATTTTTTAAATAATTTTAAACTAATCTCGTGAAAATGGTCTCACTGAATGGTTACATGTGAGGCAAAAGATTAATAGATTTTATTTCATTGCCCCTTTTGGAAAAATTTGACAATTATTTGTTCCCATTTTTCTCAATATGATGATCTAACAGCTTGACACTTGTAAAAATGGTTCTACAAAATCGTGATAGATGAGGAAGGAGTTGTTATTTTAGTAAAAATTTTGGCACGTATGTTTCCTCGTTTTTTTCAACTAAGTTTAACCCTTGTTATTAAATTAATCAAATTAACACAATGGTAACTGATCGAAGGAGAAACAATTGTAAATATTTTATACCTTCCTTGAAAATGAGAGAATTGAAATGAGTTTACTCGCATTGTTCGCAAATAAGAAATTAATGTACAGTCTGTGCCATGTTCTCAAAAGCAATGAAAGATGCTGAATATAGAAAAGGGATGCTTATTAAATAAATTATCTAAAAAAAAGGAATTGTGACAACAACACGTGGTGTTCCCAGGCGGTCACCCATCCAAGTACTAACCACGCTCAACACTGTTTAACTTCGATGATCGGACGAGAATCGGTTTTTTGCAGTGTGATATGGTCGTTGTCGAAATCATACGAGCTTTATACAGTATTTAAAGAACTAATGCCACGTGTCGAGTTAATTATTACGTGAGTGCTTTTTAGGTCGAACGTCTTAATTTCAATTGATGCTACTCTTGATGCTACTCTCAATGATACAAGAAATATTTATGTGTACACGTCAAAATTATTTTGAGTTTTAAGAAAAATTTATTAAAAATTTAGTTTTTAATAAAAAATTAAAGATTTAGGTTTTTTTCCATCAACATCTATTTTCAACAGTATTTATATGTACACGTAGTATGTACGTTC